ATATTTGTTTATTTGAATGCAATGTCATAGTAATAATTCTTGACTTTGAACAAATATTTAAGAAAAAAAAAATTGTATATGAAATTTTTATATTAATGTTGATAATTTATTAATCATCGTTGTTTCAATAATTTTAAGATAATAATTAAATGTAAAAGCCCAAATTAAAACGGGCCTGATTTTTTTTTAGAAAAAAAATAAAATTTTTATAATATTTTTAATTATAGAGGCTTGAATATAATGTATATATAAATATATAAATAAAAGGTAAAAAGCGGTTTTGCATAAAGCCACATTTGAAAAGATTTCTCATAAAATTTTTGATTTACTATATAAAAAGTAAAAGATGAGTATGAAATTTGTACATAAATAACTTATCAGATATGTAGAATAGTTATGAAATATTGGTTTTCGAAAATAGTAGCATTTGAAAAATAGTATTTTAAATGAAAAATTATTTTTAATTGCATATGAAAGAAATTATACAATAAAAAAAGAGTTTCATAAACAGTATAATATTAAATATTTTGTTTAAATGTGAAGGTTACTAAATAGGTTATATTAATGTATCATTCAATGAGTGCAAAAGACCGTTTCAGTATGTATTTAAATATTTGAATTTTTCAAGTATGTCAGATTACATAGCACAGAAGGTTTGTCATTCTAAATATAAGATCAACAATAACTTTTCTTTATGGTATATTATACTTTTTAAATCTTGAAGTTTTTATAAGCTGTAAATAGAAGATTATTTAAAATCTTAGAATATCATGTATCTTATAACTAAATCATGATTATTTTTTTTGCTAAATTAATCATACTTTTACAATTAGTTCTTTAATTTTAGTATAAACTTCTGTTATCATATTAATTCCTATAAACGTGGTAAAATTTTATAAATTATCAAACGCAGCTATTTATTATTAATAGAAAAATAATGTTTATAACGTTAGAACTTATTTTTTAATACTAAACTTGTAATTGATTGTTGCTATATGGTGTTTGGATTATTTGGTTAATTTTCAGTTTTATTTATAGTGAACTGTAATTCATGACACATTTTTAAACCAAATAAGATATTTTCATCGGCATTTATTATTTAGTAAATGACCAATTAAGAATATCGGAACAATTAAAGTCTTATTTAAGGTAGAGTGATGTGAACAAAGGTAAAAGTATTAGAAAAATAATTACTTTATAATGTAATTATGGAGTGAAATGTACTTTGTAGGATTTTTTATATAAATAATTTAAATGCCTAAGTTCATTAGATAAATTATTTAGGTAGCTTTTTATTAAAAGCGAACAGTGCTGGTTGGAAAATATTTACTTGTCTGCATGGAGCATATTAGCGTGTAAAAAATAAAGTTAGATAAATATTTTGAAAGATCAAGTATATGTTTCTTTAAAAGCTTTTTTGCGAATGGCATCCCCATAATATGTCTCCCCAGCTAGATAAGGTATAATCTTCCTAGTCAATATAGTAATAGACATACTGGAATGAAGGAGGATACTCTTATTATTATCTGTATAGACATCACAGATTTATGGCCTTTAAATGTGTCGATATATATATATATATATATATAAATATATATATATATATATATATATATATATATATATACCTATGAGCATGTATGTAGTAAATGCTCATCTAATATTACAAAGGAAGTCTCGAAGTATAAAGCTGTCAAAGAATGCCTTAAGAGAGCAATGGGCATTGGAGAAAGAATGGAGATACAGTCACGGCGCAGTCGAAGGCACGTATGTGACCATTGTGAAACCTCACGCCGCGGCGCTGTTTAAACAGTAATTCGACGCATTTTTAAGCGAGCCTATCGCAATAATTGCACCGACAAGTAAGGAAAAAATGTAGCCAATCAAGCCTGCCTGTGGAAATGACACGAGCGCCGTACGATAATAGATAAGTACGACGGGAATCGACCTTGCTGGAAATCCAGCGTCGACGTCCATTAGCTCCAAGCTCCGCTGACAATACACAATCACCGACAATCACAATGTCCTACCTCAATGGCGGCCACACCCATCAATACCAATCGGGGTGGACGCTCGCGGACAAGGCGCTAAGCCTTGCCTCGGCGGGGAAAATTATGCGACGATAGGAATCGCGGCGCGTTATCTCAAGTTCGGAATGCGGCGTTTGTCGTTGACCCGCGACCTGGAGCACCGCCTGATTTATGGTGCAGCCCGCGGTCTGGTCACATAACCGTATAGTGCTTGCATCAAGATCTCTCCTGCTCCCCTCCGCGCTCCTCCACCGCCCAACCCACCCCGTATAAATAAGGTAACTAACGGGCGTGTCGTAGGCAAACGATCCGCCTGCTCCAGCGGGACAATTGGCAGGTGCTCCATCAACCGGATTCTGCAACTTTCCATTCGCGACGTTTTCATTCCGATTTACTACGACGAAATTAGCTACCTTTTTACCACCTTGGATGTCGTAAATCCCACCCGATACACCCGGACGTTTAACACCGAAGTGATTTATCGATGCGGCAGAACCACGCGAATTTTTTTTCTTCTTCAAGTTTTACGTAAATTCGCGATTTGCCGATTGGCGCTGCAAATTGTCTTACACCGCTACCGCTACTACCACCTCTGCTCACGTTTGCCAATGCGCGCTTTTTCTGCATAAACGAGGCGACTTTTTACAAAGTAAGATCGCGGCTTTGTACTATGCGTGAAAAATAAACGGAATCGCCAACGTTCTTGCTAATTTATCCACTCGAGCACTTATCGACATTCGATATCCTGATAGTCAATACCTCCCCGATGATGAACTACGCGGTAAAAAGTACACCAACGTACGCTTGTGAAACCATAGTTAGATTTGAATAATTATTAAAGTACATGTGAGAATAAAAAAGAAAGAGAAAAAAAAGGAAAGTTCATGTCATTCTGGGCTATTTTCTCGGGTAACAAAGAGTAATCGTTGGTACGCGAAGTTATTTATTATTACATGAGAAAACTATTATATATTTCATTTCAACAGCTCCGTTTGTCTTATATTTTCATTCCAATAATGTGCGGCATACCGATATTTCCTCCAGCCCGACTACGAAAAGCTAAACACTCATCGGTTGGCTAAAGACTACTCGAACAATGTTTAATGACAACGGAAGTTTGCTCAACAACGTATCGCCTTACTGAGCTTCTGTTCGATCGAGTAACAAGTGCATCACCTATACAAACGTCTGAGAAAGGAAGATTCGGGCGGAGCAGTGACCTTTCAAGACGTACTTATGTACCTTCTCTACTTTGCTCTCTCTCTCTCTCTCTCTCTATCTCTCTCTCTCTCTCTCTCTCTCTCTCTCTCTCTCTCTCCCACAAATGTGCGCAAATACATGCATACAGAAAATGGAGGCACTTTGTAAGAATCGGCGGTGATGAAACGTAAGCGATTACGCAGTTGCTATTGAGTCAATAGTACGCTGGAATCGCGAGAGAGTTGCATCGTAGCACATATCGAATTATCGAGCGTTGTTCCCACAGATTCGCCCATCGCGTGGGAAATGCCCTGGATGCTTCGAGGAACATGAGGTAGCCCTTATAAGGATATGGCTGTCCGCACTTAGAAATTTAGAAAATTTTAGAAAATTTTCTATGTTGAATTAAACAATTCTTTTTCTTCTTTATTAATCGATTCACCTGCGTATTCTTTAAAATAATTTTTTTTTCTCTGCCATTCAAGATATTGCGATTTAAATTCAGATTATTATTATTTCAGTTCAGTAGAAATAAGATTTTATCGAGAGTATTTCATTTAATTGCGTATTTTCAACTCTGTCGAATCTAATATAAATATCGGTCGTACAAAATTTTAATCGATTCGATATATAAGGAAGATCGTTATAATAATTGCAATTATATTTAATAATATATTCATAATTCTACATCCAATGGGTTCTATTATTGTTCTATTAAATTTTTTTATTATAAGCAGATTAAATATTAATTGAATATTGTGTTAAGATTTCAACGTTGATGAATTGCGTCGGTATTATTGTCAAAATACTTAACACTTTATCTAGAATAGCATTGTCTGGAGAAAAAATGATAATTAAATGTTTCCGAGTCATCTCGTGAACCATTATAAGGTTAATGGAAAGCCATTAATTTTCAATGGAATTCTAATTATCTCTAAACCTCTAAACTTCTATTTTTCAAGATGCATGTCGTTGCCGTAATATCAGCATACCACATATCAATTTCAACCTATTTTTATTCCAAACACTTATAAATTGTCAAAATACACCTACAAATTATATTTTCAATTAAATTTCAAGTACTTGCGAATTATAAAATTTTACCCTGAAAATACTTGAAATTTTTAAACAGCAGTTCCAATCTATATTAAATACCACATATCACGTTTCTGTAGTATGAACGAAATAGACATTGCATGAAACGTCGATAGACAACATTGCACATTAAGTGGTTTAATTAAAGAAGCGTCGTAGCGTCATCGAAGCGTATTGATAATAATTATAAATTTTAGTTTGAATTTTTATTTATTTGTCATTGAAACTTGTGATTGAGATTTAAAAAACAAAATTTAAAATTTATCGACCAAGAGAACATTTTTGTACGTGTCACTGTAACCGCATTGTTCACGAAACATTAAGGATAAAAAAGGATGACAAAGAGGCATTAGAAATAAGGCATTTTGATAACTTGATGGTGCATTTATTGAGTATTTATCTATTTATATTTACATATACCGGCGAATTGTGATCGATACGTAAAAAGTGTGTACATATAAAATTCGCATGTGAATGGCATGAATCTCTCGCGACAGGAAACGTACGAAAGGATGGACAAGAAGAATGAGAGGAGTAAGCTTAAAGAATAGATAAGAGTCGTGGCACGGGGGTCAAGAGCGAGCGAGTCCTGCGTGTAGTGAAGACGGCGTCGTCACCGTCGCCGTCGCCGCTGTTGCTGCCGCGAGGATGTCGATGCCCGTCAGGTACTCATTCCACAGGCGTGCTATTCCGTCCGTTCGAGTTCCGCGCTGTCGGACGAGCCCTCGGGCCCATTCTCTAGCGAGATTACCAGGGTCCGTGGCCAGTGACGACCGCGGCTCCGTGGCCAGCGCCATGCGTCGTTATTTTGCCAGAGGGTCCGGCGATTACAGCCGAACCTGCGCTCGGGCCTGAGACGGCGGCTGGGCCGGCATGAGGTCCTGAGACGGCGATGGGGCCGGCATGGGGTCCTGAGACGGCGATGGGGCCGGCATGGGGTCCTGCCAGGACAGCTCCGTGGAGAGCTGGTCCTACGGCTACGTGGCCATGATGCGCTGGACCGGCGAAGACGATGCCGTGGCCGGGGCCGTAGCTGGCGTAGGCGGGTGCCGCGTATCCGGCGTATCCACCATATCCGGCGTAACCACCGTAACCGGCGTAGCCGCTGTAGCCTGTGCAAACGACAGTTTACCTGCGTTAGTTTCCGGGTGGGGATCGGCGGCTAGTTTAGGGGAGGGAGAGAATTGCGACGTTACGATGAGGAGGAGGAGGAGGAGGAGGAGGGGTGGACTCTTGGCACGCCGTGAATACAAGTGCCGAGATAAATCTACCTCGCCGGATAAAAATGGAGTTAATGCGGTGATTTAATGGTATGTGGTCCTCTTATCTGACAGATAATAATCTCGTTTAGCTACAAATTAATATGGATATATTTGAAGTTATTCGAGTGCCAAGCATGTTATGTCAAACACATATACGTTTACATTTATGTATGTCATTGAAATTGTATATTTTTTATTTATTTAAATAGTTAATGTGTAATAATTGATATATAATTTCTTTACACTGGTAATTGGCTAGTAACGTGCTATTTTTAGCGATGCTTACACATAGTTGAAATTATATATTATTATCGGCTCATGACAGACAAAAACATGAATATTCATAGAAAAAAGTGCATTTGGTCTATTCATATTAAATAATTTCTGATCAATGTAATGTAACGGATTCAATGAACGTATACAGTATTATAACGTATACCAAATAATTTAGATGAGTTTTCCGAGTTTGCGTCTATAAAACTTCTCCTTAAAACTCATAAATGATTTTGAATGGAATTTTTCGAGTATAGTTTTTTTTAGCAACGTGAGATTATTTGTATTTATGTAAATAATTCTGTTAATAAATTTGATCAATTATACAGAGAAAATATTTGTCGATAAAAAAAATATATAAGCGTTTGTTTTTCAAATTAAACTTCTTACAAATATTTATTGAATTTTTCATATTTCCATCAAAATATTTATGTAAATAAAATCTATTATTCAAAAACATTACACTTAATAATTCCGTAATATTGTCCGTATTTAATTTACAATTTCAATTTATTTATCATTAAGAGTATTACTTATTAAGAGTATTAAGAAATATGAAATGATATAAATAAATAAGAAATTTTTTTAGCTTTATTAATTAAAATTATTCTTAACTGCATGATATTTATCAACTAGTTATTTTATTAGTTAAAATTAATTATTTCACTTATTCTTTATTAGCTTTTCATCAAAATCATTATAGTTATAAAAGTCCAAAAAGGAAAATAAATATATTTTGTATTTTTATAATAAAGGAGATTGAAACAATTTCATTGAATATGTACCGAATTCTGTTAGTATTTTATTTTTCACTGTGTTAATTGTGAATCGGTAATAAAACTAAAATATATTTTTAAATAGTTTATAAATAAATATGATAGCTGTCGATTGTGTATAAATATAAATATGATAGCTTGTTGTATTGTGCCTCATCAACAAGTGTCTTGGGATAGATTAATTTTACTTTATATGTTCTTCGTTTTGATTTTAACATTTTTGTACATAAATATAAAACTTCGATTATTTGCATATAATATGGTATATATAGAATTCTAATAATTATCATTATAAAGATGAAAAAGCATATATATTCTATGAATACACATAATATATATACAGAAATTAAAGTAAATATTAATGTTCATATGAATAATTTTCATTCTAATTTGAACGATACTGATTTCTTAATGATAAGAGCAATGTAAGTTTAATAATTTTACAAATAATAGCGAAGAGTGCTATTTTAATTTATTTTTAATATTATGAGAAAGTAGTAAAGCTGCTTACGATAATGATCCGTTAAACGAGTTGTTTTTATTTTTTTATTTAATATATTGATATTTAAAAAAAAAATTACTTCTTAATAAATAAAATGATAACCAATATTATATACCAGCAATCTGTGATTGGCACGAGTGCTTTTAAGGAGATTAAAATATCATTAACGCTATAAGTAATAGTTGAATTTACTAGTGTGTCGTATGAACGCGAAGCTGCAGTTGAGTATGAAAAGCTTAATTTCATCAAAAAGACTTTTGAGGCGGACCGCCGAACGCCTCTCACGAATAAACACAAAGTAGGTTGCTCGCTAAAAAAAAATGCTTACCGTAGTCGGGAGCACCGTAGTGTTCAACGTGGGCGGGTCCGCTGACGGAAGCAGTGACAACGGCGGGTCCAGCGACGGCACCTGAAACGTGAGCGGCACCGGCGACGGAACCGGAGAGGTGAGCCGGTCCGATGACGGGTCCGGCAAGGGCCGAGGGTCCGGCGTGGGGTCCAGCGAGGCTCGCGGGTCCCAGAATAGGGCCGGCAAGGGCGAGACCGTGGGGTCCGTAGGCGCCGTGTCCGTAACCGAGACCTGGCCACACAGCTCCTCGCTTATCGCGCGCTCCTGCGCTCACCGCTGCGATCATCGCGAGACAGATAATCTACGAGAAGTTTGACTGCTTTAGTGGTGTGACCTTATCTCCGTAGGTTAGGTTAGCGAGCAGCTCAGGCTCTATCTAGCTCCTCGTCCGTTTTCGAGTATGGTAATGCGGACCACCCCCTTCCCGCCCTTACGCTTCGCGCCAGTGATTTATATTTATCCTTGCGACTCGAGAACCTTTGGATTAGCTCGGACATTCTTCTTTACGCGGACTATGCCGACTTGCTTTCTAAGGCCGTAATTACGCTTATCGTTCGTTAATGTCTTGGTTTTAGTTGAGCATTGGTAAGGGGAACGCGGTGGAGTGAAGTGAAACTTCCTTATCCTATTGCATTATTTTTTACAATATCTTAATCTTATAATAATTTTATGCAAATATTGAAGTTGTATAGTGATGGTTTTATTTTGGTAAATGTAAAATTAGTTCAATTAGTACAAGAGGCCTGAACGAGCTTGTAAGCGCGTACTATATAATTGTATGGACAATCAACAATTTTCAACAATTGTTATCGCAGGCATATATGCTAGAGGAGCATTTAATCGATCTATTTAACTGAACAATATCGTTTGACGATAAATTGATTAAACTCGATAAAGTATGGCTTATCAGGGAAGAGATTAATAAGTAGAAATATCCGACATTAGGATGACGACGAGTGTGTGTATAGATCGTTGATTCGTTTTTGTAGAAAGTCATTGATCATATAACAAATTCTTGTAATTTAAGATGTCCTCGTTTAGTACGAGTTAAATATTATTTTACGAGAATAATTATTTTAATATGGTCGGGTGAGAGGACTTGTTTTAAGACGCTGGCATATTAAAAAAAAAAAAAAAAAAAAAAAAAAAAAAAAAAAAAAAAAAAAAAAAAAAACTTTAAAATTCTGCTAAATAATTGTTATGGATGTATGATTTTCATTTCAAAGCATCATTGAATTGAGAGAATGAGCAATTTGTTGAAAATTGAAAGGAAATATATAGCAAGTTAGTTGCGACTGTGGTCAGACAGAGAGTCAGGTCGAATGGTCGATTCTCGTATAAGAAGTGTTGGGAGACTTAGCCGGCAGCTTGACGGTCTGTCCCAATAAAATCGCGATGCTAATGTTAAAGTGGCAGCTTCGGCCGTCGTTCGTACGGATCGGCAAAGCACTCGTTAAAAACCATGATAATGTCACTGGACCGAAGTGCGAAGGAAAAGGATCGCGCACAACGTGGCAGGCGAATACAGCTACCGCGATACTTACAAAACCCTTCATGTTGTCGGCCGTGTCGATAGCTGAGTGTACCAGAGACCGATCGTCAAGTTGCTTATATATGCCTCGTGGGAGAAGGACGGTGCGGCGACCGCGCCCCCGCGCGCGCACCAGCCAAATCCCTTCGAGACGATGGTAAAAGAGAAAGAATAGGCGGCAAGGAGAGAGAGAAAATGGGGTAGACTCGCGGCTGGCGGCCCATTGTGCAAGAAGGTCGCAATCGGACACACCCATGAGCCGCCGCCGCAGCCACGGTCGGTGCAGCGGGGGCACGACGTACGGCCTTCGCCGGGTCCAGGAACCGCGGCCTCACTCATCCCCCTCACTCGGACCGACTCCGTTACGAGATAAGAACGAAGGACGCTTTGTCTATGCGCTTAACAATCCGGACACGCCCTGCGTCTGGGAAGGAGTACCACTACTCCTTTTATTCGGCATTTCATATAAAATTGTCCTCGCGAGGTGACGACTTCCCATTGCACGTGGGGCTGCGACGCTTTGCGCCACGGTATCCGACGCTTTTTCCACCACAGCTAATCCATCTCCGATCGGCCTACGACTCTTTCAGAGAAAGTTCAGCTACTAAAGGAATTCCTTTCATGGTGAGAGGTTGCTTCTTATATTACTCATTATTCGAACGAGCTTTTATTTAATGTACCTTAATAATAGAATTTTCATTACACATATGCATTATAATACCCTTTTAATTGTATCACCCATTCGCGCTCATTCGAAAGTCAATTACGAGTCACAATTGATACATATACCGCACCCTTCGTGGCATTATCCGCAGGCTTAGTTCATTTTCCATTGTAAAACTATCTCACTGGATTTTTAATGGTTGCGTGAGACTTGGAGAACAGCGGGGAAATGCCTTTTTCCCTCTTCCTTTTTTTTTAATTCAGGCTAATTGTTCTGCGCTAACTTTCGGATAAATAACGTAAAGAATGTCGAGCCGTTCGAATACTCCCTCGGCATTTTAGTATTACCACACTCATTGAATATTTATGAATTGTACCACATCGAATTTTTATATCACTAGGCTTAGTTTAAGAAACTCTATAATTATATAATCGATTATTAGTGTATTAAATAAGTGGCATGAAACATTTTTCAGAGCTAGATAAATATCTTTGTATATTGTAGCTTATAAATCTGCATTGGCGAAGAGGCGAAAAATAAAAAAAATCAGTAAGTACATTCTTAACAATTCGGGATCTTGTGAAATACCAAAGTAGTTTTCAAAGTAAATTACGAAAAAAAAGAAAAAAAACAAACTCCATACCCGTGCATCAAACATCTTCTGATAAATCTTCATGAAATTGTTTTTTTATTTACTAATTCACGACTTCGTTTCATAAGATGTTAACGGTGACTATTTGAAAAATGGATGAAAAAACGTACACGTATACGTGTGTATATATATATGGAAAGAGAGAGAGAGAGAGAGAGAGAGAGAGAGAGAGACAGAAGGAGAAAGTGAGGTGGATATAGTCGACAGTGGCACTGTCATTATCAATGTTAAAGAATGAGAAACTAAGTGAAACGAAAAGTTCAAAGTGCATGGTGGCTAGAATGGTTTAGAAAAAGAAGGCATTCGCATGAACGGTCACGATGAAGGTGCCCATCGATCCGCAATAACCAGAGGGGAAAGAATAGATGCTACGAAGAGGCGCTCGAATCTTTCGCGAGCTTCGAGCAACGTGATCACCGCTAACAGCCAGACCGACGTTTACGGTCATTGTTTGGAGAGGCGCTGATGTTCTCGCTAAGGATATCTTGCGCCGCGCTTTGGATTTAGCGCTCACCTTAAAGTTGGAAGGCCAAATTGGATGCTTCGCGCGCGCACATTCGGATCAGTAGTTAGGTAGTCTACTATAATGCTTGTCTTTTAATGGCAATCGGCTGCAATGCTGCTGGAGCCGTGAGTTTATGCGGGCTATTTCATCGCGTCGTGTCGGTATTGGAGAAATATCGAGCCGATGTGCGGATCTGCGGTACGTCCTACGAGTCTCGGTAAATAATAAATGCTTGCTACAGAGCTTGTTGTATTGGTAATGAATAAAGTCATTAGATAGACGGCCGTGCTTATTTTACTTAATGTATATTCTAATCTGTTATGAAATCCATTGAACAGTAATCAAAGATGCGAAGCACTTGAAATTAATATAGCACCTTTTAAAATTCCACACGTTTCCAAATTATTTATGTGCGAGTGAAATCAATTCTTAAAATTACAGTTTCATATATTTATATATTTATTTCATAAGTATTGTGCGCACACGCACAAACAAACAAACAAACACACACGCGCGCGCGCGCGCACACACAATATTATATGCAAATGCATGAACGTGAATTTTATAATATTATATAGAAAATTAATATCATATTAGATTAATGAAAGCTAAAATTTTTTATAAATGCACACATAGAAATGCCATTTTATCGAGTATTCTAGATAATTAATCTTCCGCAATTTCATTCCAAGTCGTATTCTCTCTACCTTGACCTATATTGAAGAAAAAATTTACATTTAATAAAGGATCTTGATCCGAGATTATGATTAAACTGCTACACTATGTTTATAAATTATTAATTGATTATACATACATTATTTTTTTTCCGTACGTTAATTATAATATTATCAATTAATAGTGTTGTCATATCTAACCTGTTCCGCTGTTAATATAGACTTTTTTTACTGACAAAAAATTTGAATTTGAATTTTGAGCAACGTTAATATTAATATTAATATTTTCTAATAATGATATTGAACAATACGGATATTCTTATATTTGTTAATAATTTTTAAATGATTATATAAGAGTTTTTGCCACATTGTAATAAATATCATACGGTGATGTGTTTTATTTGGTATTTTAAATAAAAATGTAAAATTAATAATTTGTTTCTTAAATGTAGTTAGTATTTAAATTATTTATATAAAATATTACTTGATATTTGATATTGGTTTTAATTCTAAATTATTTTAATTCGTATTTTAAACAATTTTTTAATAAAAAATTCATTACATAATAGAAAATGTTCAATTAGAAATTATATATAAAATTATTCAATAAAGAAAAAATTTCTAATGACATTTATCAACCTATTATAACTATTAATTAAGTAGAATCATCCAAAATGAAATTAACATTATAATTATGAATATAGTCGGCACTAGTAATGTAAATTTCATATAATTAGAAGATGCAAATAAATATCTTAATAATAAGCAAATAAAACAATAATCATTTATTTTATATTTTACATTGATAATTGTAATGATTAGGGCAATACTTAAAAACTGACAGAATGTAATTTCACTACAGATTATTTCTTTGATTGTGACATAAAGCTTTTATAAATTTTCATGCTAATATAGCCCAATAGTTATTACACATATTAAACCATAAGAATTTCTAAATTCTAAATATTTTATAAACAATACAGCATTGAAATTATTTTGCATAAATTTTTTCCTTAAAAAAATCGACCAATAATTTTATGAACCGAGACTATTGAGAGAAATAACATATTTATTCAATGGAAGTATTTTTAATTTTATAAAACTATACGATACAGATTTGAAATACTAAGATTGATATAATATCATTGGAAAAAATTGGTCATTGCAGGAATTATAATTAAATGAAATAGTAATAAATTTTAATTATTTCTATTCTAATAATAATGTATTTCGTTCTATAATTTTTATAATAGCTATTTGATAAAAAAAAAACAAGTTAAATTGGTTCTAATAAAATTAGTAAGGAACTTTCTACTAAGTATCATGTACAATTGTACAATATGTATTTAATGAAAATAGCGCTGACACCTTGTAATTTGATCAACGAGTCAATTTATATTAACTCATGCCATAAATAAACTGTTATGCAGTAATGTCAGTTATATGATAAGGAGACTATATTAACAGATATATTGATGAATTTATATAAATATATTATTTATAAGAATGATATTATATATAAGGTTTTATGAAATAATATAAAATTTTATTTGATTTGATATTTATTTATTTTCTATATAATTTTATAAATATAAAGGCATATTACTAATTATTTAAATGGAAATCTTTTAACAAGAGAGGAATTTATATTTGAAAAGTATTCTGTTGATGTACGAAACATATTATTATTATAGTTATTATTTAGACAGTTTTATTTATAGAATATTACATTATAAGTATTATAATGATAATTTGTTTGGACGTAAAATAGAAACATTTTTTTTTATCATTTTAATACGTACATTTTAATACATATATGTTAGAACTAAAATTTCAGATCGGAATTGTTCCAATTTATACTAATCTTATTAATTCTGAACTTTTTTGAATAATCAATTTATTTACGATTTTCTTACATGAAAATAGAAAATAAAATATTAATAACATAGAAATCGTAATTTAATGATAATTTACTGTTTTCATAATTTAAAAAATTTATTAATAAATGTTTTACTTAATGTATGTCTTCAGAAACATCAAATTCTTATTCAATTTTATAAACAAAACTCGTTATATTATTTCATTTCAATAAAATCGGTACTATTTTAATTTCAATGTTACGTAAAGAAATAATTGATAATATGAAGAAATAATTTTTTCAAAAATTAAATTAAATTTTCAATTACACATTCAATTGTATTTAATATTTTTTCTTTCAATGTTATTCATAATATAGTTTATGATAATTCTGAATATATTGGCAAAAATTTCTAAAAGATTTTAGATTATAACATAATTATTTGAATAATATTATAAAGATTCATAGTGTATAGTGTTTTTTATGTATTTAATTATATAAGAAATAAAGATTATAATTTTTTAAATTAAGACGATTGATTTAATTTATTTATAATTTAAGTTTTGACACCCTTATTCCTCAGTCTTCTAATTAGACTTGAATTTGAGTAATATTTCATTACAGATTTTCTATAATTTTGTACTTTACCATTAAGTATTTTTGTTAGGTTACCAAGCAAATAATAACGTATGTAATTTGATTTAATAAACTGAATAAAAAATGTCGTAGAGCAAATATAAAAAATTTCAATCTCAATGATAGCTCATAATAATTTATAAATTAGTTGATATTTTTTAGTATGCTTCTATTATTTTATTTTCTTAATGCTAAAGAGTTTCCTCTATTTATCTTAATCCTAATTTATTAATTGTTGTTGGTTTTTTTTTTTTGAATATTATAATATAAGAATATTATAATGTAAAAGATATTTATTTAATTGTATATAAACTATATAAAAAGTTTGAAGGTGATCATAAATTATTCATTTCTTAGTGCACCATGAGTAATCATGACGCCTACTTTCTCTATGGTAGTCTTCTCGCCTACTGACATGATCTTATCAATTAATTATAAGTATATTCATTATAAATTAATTTTGAGCAGTTATTGTTAAATATTGGTATTAATACATATTGAATACTGAATGTGAGTTATTTCTACAAAGACCACCGTATATTCTTACCGTAAAGCCTTATTTCAAAAGTGTATAAATGGTATTTCCTAAAATATTTAATTTCTTTTAATTGTTTTCATGATACAAAACTAATTCAAGGCAAAATTGTATTTGACTGATTATAAATTATTAATATAAATAACATTTGTTACTGTTTAAATTAATTTCAATAAATTTTCTTTTTGGTCCACAATTTTTTAAGGTGTGAAACATTTTAGCACAGTAAATAAGTAAAAGTTAGTTACCAAACAGACTATTCGCAAACTTTTATGATATATGTTGAATAACACTATAAAAAAAAAAAAAAAAACAGTTTTCAATTGAATAATATCTTTACACTATATTTATTACCCTAGAAATATTACGTGCTACGTTTGTAAAATCGAATTTTATTTTAATTAAAGAATTGACTAAATAATCCTCTAATTAAAATTTTAATTTATCGATAATTTTGAAGAGTTTGTGCAATGTTGAAATATAACTTATAAATACTAGAAGATGTTAAATTATCTTTAAATACTCTTGCTTATACTTAAAAAATTTTACCAAATATGACATACGATCAGTGTTTATTTAATATATAAAGGTTAATTTCATATAAATTAAGATTTATATATTAATTATCAGATAGTAATATTTATGTTTATATAATTATAATGCTGCACTAATATTCAGAACAAAATGTTAATAATAGACATTTTATTACAGGTTATAATAGCGTTTTGATGTTTAAAAGGATCGATAATTTAATGATTATAGGAGCCGGGGTGAGTTATATTATGGATTAGATAAAAATAAGTAACTGTTGTAAACTTAAATGAAGCTACCACATATTTGGAAACCTCTCGATTAAGTACTGTAATATAACTTGCGTTTTTTCTTTTGCTTTTAATACATAATTCCAAACTATTTTATTGCATTATTTTCGTAGAGGCAATTATAGTCGCAATAGAAAATAAGTATGAAATATAATAAATTGACAAAAGTAATTTAGTTTAGGTTTAGTTGTGTTGTTAAATCTTGGAAATCAAGAATACATTTATCAAGTAATATTTTTATTTAAATGTATTTAAAAACAAAAATTTACCAAATTCAAAAACTCCTAATCTACGAATTAGAAACAATATTATACAGTATAGGTGCGGCGCAATAAGATAAGTATTTATTGTGGAATGAAAATAGATCAAATAATTTAATAGATCTTGACAAATTGTTACTATAAACGCCATCTGTTGGTTAGAATGTATTTCTTATATAAATCGGAGTTATAACATTATGGAATTGTCTAAGATCGGTACATCTACATTAAAAAAACAATTTTGCATTTTATAATTGACTCTTCTAACGAATTAAATTTATTCGATGACTTTTAAAATATAAAATCATTCTTTATAATATAATTAATCATATTATAATTATATCAGTCCTAGAAATATTGTTAATTATGCATTATTTCATACTTACATATGCAAATAGATCGGTTACTAATCGTTATTCATTGAAAAATTATGTAAACGAGCGCAGTTTTAGATTATCATATTAAATAAAAAATGTTATTACAAAAGTGTTTGGAGTAGAATATATTTATTTTTATTATAAAGCTTTTTCAATGTTGATAAATTGTTACCGACCGTTTTGTCTATTTATAAAACCTACTAACGACATCTGGACCGATTTCTCTGCAGGTTAGATCGTTAGATTTTTTTTGAACTAGTGTTGTTTTAAGATCTAAAAGCGTCATCTACAAATTTTTATTTGTACAAATACGTAATAAATTTTATGCATTAGCTTCTTTTTATAACAGTAATTTGGATTTGAATACAATTATATATAGTAAAGTGAATATAAAGTCTTTGATCATACACTCATAAATTTTTCATCATATATGGAACTTGAAGTTATAGCAATATACACAGATTAAATAGTAGTTTAGACAAATATTTTTATCCTATATAAATTTTTTTAATAATATACAATTGTATTTTATGGAATTGTAGATGCTACATACATAATACGTAAATTCCATAGTAGTAGTACACGGAATTGTATGCATACACGGTATTATTGAAACTATAAAAAAACAAAATTATAATGAAGTAGTCTCAATACATTAGCATATATAATTAAAAATTAATATTCAATATTTTATTCAAATTAATTGATTAACATTTTATTCAATAAATAGCCTAATTAAATGAGCCCATGTCTATTATGTGGTATATATGAGTATTATTTAAACATTATTATTTAAAGTCTTATTATTAACTTGATAAAGTTAACTGAAAAGTGATTAAATAAAATTAAAAGTATAAGGTTTTTATTTAATTGTATCTATGAATCATTTATCTTAAATGATAGCCATAGCAGTCTTTATAAATATGCAATTGGAATCTTATCAAAGAATTTTACGAAACTATGATAAAATGAGGATTTAAACATTAAATTGACTAATACATTTGCTATATGTCTAATTGATGAAATACAATATATTTAAAAATATATTTTCTTATTTATTATATCTATTATATTAGTTTATATATATTTTTTATTTAAAAATAATAAGCCACAATGTTATAAATTTACAACCAATTATTTTCATTATGATTTTAGGAGTCATTTCGTTTTTATTCACGATACACGCGCGCACAATTGAACTTTTCTCAACAAATAAATTAAAAGTAATTATTTCAGATTTTGCAATGTTGTAAAGAATTATAGCATAGAAGGCAAATGAATTCGAACCTCAAATTATACCTTTCCCTAATTACTTTAATACGCTAAAGAATGTATTATTTAGATAATTTTTGAAGATTATAAATGAAATGTTAAAAGTTTTCGAAATCTTGAAAAACTGCCTGTTAGTAATATTATGTTTTTGTTAAAGGATTACAACTATCTTGTATAATTAGTATAATTGGCAATATCGTGATTTATGATTGTGATGTAATATACCGCGATCGTTGTCGCGGCTAAGAGTTGAAATAGTTTTTAGTATACAAGGTAATAATATTACATTTAATGTAATTTTATTATTTTATGTTTCCAAAAAATATTTTTTCTTGCTTTTCTGTTTGTATATTGCAATAGTCAGTTGATTATTTCCAACAGAAGAATCAGTTTATTTTATTGTAGATGATATTATGAATTCGAATACAATTATCCGTTGCTTAATGGACTTTTAAGGAATTTGTTGGAATATTTATAAAATCAAAAAATGATATTTATGAAAATATAAGGAGGAAGCATGTATTGTTTAATATATTGATGAATGGCGATGCAATATTTGCACAATATTTGCACTTTATATGGTGTAGCGTAGGGTCTCAGACGCTCACTTTATGATTTAGTCGAGGAATATTATTATAAATGGTTAGATATTGTAGAGATGTTGATGATTGTCAGAGGAATTGGCGAGGCTTTTCTTTAGAATAAGTAAGAGGATGCGAGTACCAAGTAATAAATAAGAAGATTTCAATTGAATTTTAAATACTGATGCTTTATTTTTTATATAAAGTATTGTATAAATGTATAAACGCTATAAATATGTGGCATCTATCTATGGTGGTGGTGGGGTGCTAGTCGTGAACGCATAGAAAGAGTATGACGAGGGCGGGCGGGGTCGGGGGCCGGCGGCGGCGCGCCATCTATGTACATTCATTCACTCACGGGAACGGCTGACCTACCATAATCTACCGGTTCTCTTCACTAAATATAACATTTGATATGCATAATATGTATATATGTACGTATAAAAACGAGTATACACATGTAGGCATAAAGTACGTGTATCTGCGTAATATAGAAACAGAAAGAGTACAGAGAAGTCGAGAAGTGAAGTAGTAGTTAAGCTAGCGTGGCACAATCTATGCACATGGACGAGTATTGTAATAAGAGAGAAACGCGTGTGTTTCCTGTGTCTGTGTATGCTTGAGTGCAGCGGTGATTATAATAACAACAGTGAGGAACAGGGCGCAAGCACCGTGTGCCTCGACTCGAGAGTGGCAGTTGAAAAAGAAACGGTACAAAGAGACAAGAATAATAATAATTAATAATTAATTAATAATAATTAATAATAATAATAATAATAGTAATAAAGAAAGTCAAAAAAAAAAAAATCACGTTACATGCGTGTGCAGAGTCGAGCATCGGCTCGCGATGTTAGACGATTGTGAAAACGGTGCTGGCTGCTCATAAAACAGAGCAGACCGCCCCGAACGCGTCCGCTCGTTCATTGTATGTGCGTCGATATACGTGTGTACATATATATATATATATATAAATATATATATATATATATATATATATATATGTGCATGCGGTTGTGCTTGGGCGTGGGCGTGTTTGTTCCTCTTTAGCGTGTTCGTGTGCGTGTGTGTATGCGCGCGTGTATTTTCGTATTCTTCTTCTCTTTACGGTCGTCTGCGCGAGAGCGTATGGGGGTGTGGGCGTGCGATTGCGCGCACGCGGATGTTGTAAAAGTACACCCGAGGCTCGTCCAGCTAACAACAAGGCCCGTGGCTTACGCCTTGAATCTCTTCAAATAACACTTGGGGGACCGGCGCGTCTGAATTTCCATAAAGCAGAAGACTCCCGAGTCGACGGGACTGAACTTGGCAATTGACTAAGTGTTTATTGTGTTTGTGCGTCCTCGTCGGGCCTCGAGCTCCCACGTGAGCGTACACTCATCGCCTCCTCGGGTCTTCTCTCCTCCAATCGTCTCGCTCGCTGAACTTTACAAGACGCGCGTTGTTGCGTCCGTACGGTCCGAGTGACCGAGCCGCGTTGTCTGCTGGTCCTAGCGCCGCCCGCCAACCCCTTATCCGTCTGACTAATAAAGCACGGATCGGGGGCCGCGGGCTGATTGAGGCCGAGGCGCCCGGAGGAAGCTCAGGCTGATGGAAGAAAAGAAGTTGAAGAGATAGTCGTGTAGATAAGTAGAGAGCGCGCTGAGGATCGTTGACCGATAAGACTATGGTGGGTGTGCCGCCGTCGCCGAGCCGAGATCGCTGTGGTCTAGGACCGTCTACCACTTTCCATGGATGGGGCCGGGGATGATAGCTCCGTGGGAGCCAAGACCAGCGTGGATGGCGCCGCTAGGTCCGTTGATCACAGCGACTCCGGCGTCGTGTCCGCCAATTCCGCCGCTAATTCCTGGGCCACCTCCAATCACAGCGATGGCACCAGCACCACCTCCGAAACCTGTCCGACACGAGGAACGAACTTAAGATCAGGCTACTTTTGCGAGCAACACAACACTCGATGGTCTTTGGTATATATTAGAAGCATCTACATCTACATTTCAAGCTCGATTCGACGACTGTTAATAGGGAAAGCGACGTGGCGATCGCCGCCGTCGTATCGTCGTTGGTCTGCGAACTACGCAAGCTTATCGATTTCATGCTACTTTCTTTGTAATTTTGATTTTATTTTATTTTATGTTATTTTTGTTTAACTCATTGCTTTCACGAGATTAATTACAAGTCAATAAGGCAATTGATCCCCGTCGTGTAATAGTTGTTCCTTTATTTGCTCGTCTCTCTTTCTATATATAAATATATATATATATTTATATATATATGGCTTGTATTTGAGCATTACGCTTTGGCAACGCGGATGGAGTTTAAGTAAATTAGCCAAGTTTTATTGTACATTGAATTTCGAGCTAATTAATATCAATGTGTAAAGCTATCTCTTTTTTGTCAATCGTAAATTGAAATTTAGAGCATCGCGATTACAAACAAAAGAAGAAAAACGAGTCAAAAAAAGAAACAGAAAAAAATAAAAAGTAATACAAATAAAAAAATAAGAAAGAGAAGAAAAGGAGAGAAAGTTACAAACAAGCAAAGAAAGACCGAATGAACAAATGAAAAGGAAGAAAAAAAAATCTTTTACAAAGCAATTGTCGATCTATAGAGAATTTCGAATAAATGCAGCTCTGAGCAGCACTCGACGATTTCCTATCGATCGCTGTTAGTTCAAGCGTAAACCGGCGTCGCTAATTCAAACTACTACTAACAATTCTAAGTGTTATGGGACTACATTTCTGGATGGGGAGGGACGTCGCTAGGACAAACTCACCGGCACCACCAAGACCGCCGGGTGCAGCAGCAGCAGCGGAGCCGGAGCTGCCGTCATCACCGTTGATGCCACCAGAGCCAGCATAGAAGGCAACGCCACCGTAGCTGGGTCCGACGAGGTTAGCGGTGGCCTGGGACGGGCCAACGAGGGTGGCAGTTCCTTGGGAGGGTCCTACGAGGGTCGATGGTCCAGCAGCTGGTCCAACGAGGCTGGATGGTCCGGTACGTGGTCCACCTACGGATTTAGCTCCCTCTTGGGGTCCAACCAGGTCGGATGGGCCGCTCTGGGGTCCTACGTTGGCCTTAGGTCCCTCAGCGGGTCCAATGTCAGCCCGTCCACCAAGAACTCCTGCGATAGTCGTGAATTAGTAAAATGAGCCGATCGACCTTTGGCTCGCAATGCGTTGCCGATGCTCGGTCGTCGCCAAACGGTTGGGAGCCCGATTTTCATGAGTTGGACCCGGCCGATGAACCAACGTTGTTCCTTGCTCGGCCGACTCCCTCGCTATTGAAAATCGGCTCGGTCCATTTGGCGATACCGAGCGACACCATCGGTTGCGAATCGCTGGCCGTAACGAGGTCCTTTACGACGACGACGTACCACCGGAGACGATTTGCTGAACGCCAGCGGCACCGGCAGCCGAGGCTGCACCGGCAGCGTAGCTAGCGCCAAGACCTCCCGATCCCAGACTGGAGGCACCACCCTGAAGGGAGTGGGCGGTTCCGGCACCGGCGGCGAGTCCACCGCTCAGTCCCGCTCCTCCGTGACCGGCAGCGGCGTAACCGCCTCCGTAACCTCCGTGGCCACCGTAACCTCCGTGCGCGATACCAGCGCGGGCCGTGGCAACAGCCAGGCAGGCGAATACGATCTGCAATGTACGCGCAGACTCGTTAGTTTACGGATTCGGCAGTGGGTTGGGGAGGGGAGTGGAGCATCCCCGTTGTACATTTGGGAAATAACGCGTGCGGATGATGAGGAGCGCCAACGATTTTCCCACGCGCTCGATCGCATTAGCTTTGCCGGGCTAAGGTGCGCGGATCTCGTTACGCGGACTATTCCGCGCGAGTTTATCGCCATTCGGGAGAAGATGAGAGATCGTAGGCGACGACTAATGTTGCGCGCGTCCAAGTATTACGCGAGCGAGCACTGCTTTCACTTTCCGTCGAAACTCGCTATGCATTGATGCTAATGCCGCTCCTGCTGTTGCTGTTGCCAATGTAGCTGATTGTTGCTATAACTGATGTCGCTGATTGCTGCGACTATTACCGTTGCCGTGGGTGTCGATGCTCTTGCTGCTGATGCGCCCTCGGGTTGACGCGAAACGACTCGCGGCGTTCGCGGTCAAATATATTTCTCCAAACTATCGCATTGATAGAAAGAAGTAAGAGCGCCCGAATACATCTAGTGCGCGCTCGCGAGAGAGAGAGAGAGAGAGAGAAAGAGACTGAGAGAAAAAGTCGACGACGGGATTTAGCTAGAAGGGACGTTATATAATAAAGCCGATAATAATAATAATAATAATAATAATAATAATAATAATAATAATAATTAAGCGTTTCAGCTTGGCGCGCGTCTTAATAAGTTGTGCGATAATGTTTCGCAATTGGAGTGATAGAGCTACGTCGATTGTACGCTTTTCACGAGAGAGAAAACGTAGTCTCCTAACATGGCCTCACTCGCTGACGACCGGTTACCCTTTCCCCTCCTATACCCACCGCCCCATTATCCCTCCGAACTTATCCATATTAGGGTGAAAAATCACGAGACGCGGTGCTCTAGAGGGGAGTTGATCCGACGCTGTTGAAAATGGAAGGAAAGGGGCGCGCTTACCCGTGGTTTATATGCAATGAGCGTAATGGAACGTTCGAAGCCGCGTACGAGATACTACAATTAACGGTTTTCCTCGTTACCTCGGTGTATCTTAGGCAGTGCCGTGTCTCGCTAACGGGACGGCCCGTTTTATTAATCGCTCGTTGCGGAATGTACAGACGATTCCTCGGTTTTCCTTATTATGTCTGTCCCGACCTTGGATTAAACGAGAGGGAAATTGATGAGTTCGCGAGATTCGCTCTCTTTGGCGTGATGCGGCGCGGCATGAGAGAAAGTCAGACATGATCGAATTAGAAATCAATCCCACGTACTTGGAAACTCGAACATCGCGACTAACACGCGAAATTACGTATTTATTCAATGCTTATTATTACGCGTGTACTTTCACGCGCGCGGTAGTCTTTGGCAATGGAACTTTTTTTTTTTTTTTTAAATACTTCAATGATCGTATCAATCACGTTATTAAGGACTTTCTGGCTAAGGTCGACTCGCATTGAAAGACGCGTTTTTGGAAAATATTAAAATTTTTCGAGATTTTAGAGATCGTTCGATTTGAGGTACAATTTTTATGCCCGTACGTACTAATATCTCCATTCCCAGATAGTGAGAGAGAAAGAGAGAGAGAGAGAGAGAGAGAAATTCTTTTATTTTTATATAAGATGATCAATGAGAAATTTCGATTAAATGACAAGTGCTTCGGTAAAATAATATATGGATATAAATGAAAAATTTCAGTGTGTAAAGTTAATATTGCGACAGCATTGAACTGATTAATTTCAACTGATCGATGATTCTGAACTGGTGCTTTGAATTATCGGATATTAATCGTTTGTAACGTAACGGGGGAATCGAATGTCGTTGAGCTATCGTGTGTCAAGCTCTTGTACCGAATAAAATCACGAGACTAATTATTAGAAAGCTCATGTAGAATGATTTTAAGGTTGCTTTTGTTTAAAAGTGCGTAAGTCGGGACTTTAGCAACGGTAGTTAAAACATGACTGAGGGATAAATCCGCGGCATAAAGGTCGAATAATAAGTAAAGTTAGGGCCGAGATAATCGTGAACGAGAAAAAATAAGCATCCCGAGAGTTTAGCATATACCGTTGGCACACAGATTTCCCCGAGGGTCATTAACAAGGAGAATGAGCGCGGTCGGTGTAGGGGAGCCGATTGGCGCTGATTCACGCGGTACCGAACAATCATCTCTTGACCGAGAGCCACAGCGATCGTGCAACCGGTTTATCAGGCCGTAGCACGCTACCGGTTACACGAATGAGATAGAGACATAGAGGGAGAGAGAGAGAGAGAGAGAGGAGAGAGAGAGAGAGAGAGAGAGAGTGAGGGAAATAGTGAAAGGACGAGGGTGAGTGGGAGAGAGGGAAGGGGAGTGAGAGTGAGAGTGAGTGAGATTAAGAGCGTGGTGGAGAGTGAGGGAGAGAGAAAGAGAGAGCCGGCACCCTATCGCCCCAGTGCCGCCACTCATCCCGTTAGCGAGCCATCGGGGCTTGCGCAATTCGTGAACCCGGGAGCTTGCGACCCCGCTCGAGCAAGCTTTTATGCATCTCCTCCTGGAGATTGGGCTCGGCTGTCTGGTATCCCTCTTGAAGTCCATTGTGTTCGCGGCGCGCTTACCATTCCCCGAGGCAAAGTCTACGTTCGCCGCGTCGGCGCACTCTTGCCGCGTGCTTTTTAAATGCGTACTCGTGTGCGGTACTCAACCGTGATACCGAAATACTCACAAAGGCCTTCATGTTTGGTTTGTGTGTGGTGGGCTGGTAGTCCGGTGAATGACTGACTTGGACCGGGCTGGGCTGCCTTATATACGCCTAACTCCTAGGCTCCCTGGCCACGCTCCACAATCTCCATCCTTTCGAAAGCCGCCGTTCGTGCTGCGGCCGCGGCGGCTACGACCTCTCCCCCATCGCCGCCAGCCGCACCGATGGCATCGCTTCTCCAGCGTTGAAGCGAGAGAAAGCCAGGCAACTCGCCTCCCTCTCGCTCGCGCTCCTCGCGCTCTCGGCCGTTCCTTCTTTCCATTTTTTTGCCTAGCCTTTATCCGCGGAGTCTATCGCGCTCTTCCACCCCGGGGACTGGATTCGGTGCGAGAGCGAGCAGCGCGAATAGAGAAACCGGCCTCCACGTGTGCCAGCCGCACTTGCATCGCGGCTTCGCCTCCCTACGGATTCGCTGGCCTGCTGGGGCTGATGCAAAGTTTTCGGCTTCTTGCCAATTCGCCGCGTGCTTACTCAATTTTCATATTCCAATTTGCCTCGTTCCCGTGTAGCCGCCGTCGCTTCCGCCATTATTGATAAGCGCTTCGCGTTCGCTTGGAGTAATCGTCAGTGCGAGCGACGGACCTCGCGAGTGTAGGGGGATAATATCGGCGTTGGGGCGCGCCTCGGACCTCGATTATCCAAGTCTCGCCTCGGCCGTACGCGACGGAGCATCTAGTCAGTGTCTCTCTATACTTGCATTTTAACTGCATTTTAGCTACAAGTTGATAAGTTGACTCGTTGCTGCGACGATCGAATCTCGTAAGAATATATGCTTCGGGCAGATTTCACGCTGCCTGCTGCGGACGCATCAGTCCTTTATTTATAAGGCCATTTTCTCATTTCGCACTCACTTTTCAAATTTTCAATATTTACTACTCCTCTTCATGATCATTCTTATTATTACGGGCGTTAGAGTGTCTGCAAATACTTTATTTCAGTCATTTTATAAAGAATAAAAAAAAAAAGTAATAATATTGAAAAAATAATAACAGTAGCAGTATTAGAGATCCAACTGTAAGAAACATAAGCGAACAGTAATTTCTTTTTTACTGTCTACTAGGTAATTATGTGAAAATCAAATTTTATTTTCTTTAATTTCAATATTAATCAATATATTAAGAACATGATATTTACTTCATTATTCTCGCTAGTCTAATCGAATATTTCGTTCAAAGTGCTTAAGGATTTTTATGTCAAATATAGCCACTAAATAAATATAGTCAAATATATAGTAAAAAATTAAAAATAAATAAATTAATCACTCAAAAATATTACAACAGCCGACGCGATTTTTTTCCTTTCTCGGTTATTCGTGTTTCATTGTAATTTTAGTAAATTTATTCTTCATACGTTATTTAAAAGTATATGCAAACTATAGACTACAATGATGAATAAATGATATAAATAGATTTTTCGTATTTCGAAATAAGATTATGTAGAAAATTACTTTGTAACATATTTAGCCATTCTAGTTTCCATTAAAAAGAATACAAAACAAAACAAAACAAAACAAAACAAAACAAAAACAAAAGAAAAAAATAAAAAGGCAGTTAAGTGTACTTTAAGTGGTACTATTACTTAAAACTAATATTCGATTTATTTAGATGAAAATTTGAATAACATCTAACAGTCCAACGACGTTATGTTTTACCAACCAAATGTAATAAAACACGCGTGGTCATTAAATTTTCATTTTATATTTATTTTTGCATATTCAGGAATATTTTCAGTATCACAAATGACTATCTTTTTAATTAACAATTACAGTTATTAATTTCTATATATTGACATTGTTCCTATACTCGTTAATTAATAATTTGTTGCGAAATATGAAACTAAAGAATAGTTAATCAATTAAGTATAAATATTAAAGGTTAAAGTAATTTTTACAATTTTATTTCTACTACTAATTTATTTCCCAATATACATAAAATTTAATAATTTATGATTTAAGAAATTTAAGTACTATCAATTTGTATTTTCTATAAATCTACTATATAAAATAATTTAGTGGTTAGTCGACAAATTAAGTCGCAAATCATTAGATCAACTTGTTAAATACGTGAACAAATTTAGATTGAAACTATAAATTTTTATATCGCTTTTAAAGCTTATAGTGAAGCGTATTTTTGTCGTTACTTACATAGAAAAGACTTCATAAGCCTCTAAGTAAGAAAGAAAAATACTCGTGTACTTATATTAGACAATGTAAATCTATAGTTTCAAGATTCGAAATTATACAATATGGGCGTACGTGCTGTTCACAGTTAACGATTCAATTAGTAAATCCTACATTGAGAGGAGAATTGTTTGTAAAAAAAGCACTGTAAAATTTGCAATACCCATGGTATATTACGAAATACGTTAAAAATGTTCTCAATAGTGTTACAAAAATTACTGCCATTTTCAAGAATTTTTTTCGTTTTATTTTCTTTTTTTTTTTTTTTTTTGTAATCAACTTTAATTTTTATGTTGATAAAAATCGAATTTTTACTATACGTCGCAACTTCTCACAACTGTCACGATTTTTGCTTATATTTATTACTAGATTATTCGCATTATGTATCTACGCCATATATTATTTGGTAAATATGCTATTCTTTTATTATTAAATAATCTGCATGAGAGATATTTATTTGTTTGGTAATTTCAAATTGCTGCGTATAAGTGTAAAAAACCGTTCTAACTTTATGAAAGTAATTCTTCATGCATGATTATTTGCCTGTAAAAATAATGATTAAGGCTTAGGCGTAATATTTTATTCGTAGAAATATTAAAAAAACATGTTTTCCTGAAATTTCATATTAGCAAAATTTACTAATTAAAAATTTATAAATATGTAACAGCAAAAAATCATGAAACTACTTATAAATATTGTAAGTGAAATATATTTTAATTATTTTATCGTTAATCCTTTGACAAGTTATACTATTTAGAAATACAACAATTTCATTTACAGACTAAGTATAATTTATTGAAATATTACCTTATTAAATATTTTTTTAAATACAAAGGCATAAATTATTACATTTTTCTTTAACTAATCCATAATATACATATTCAGAGTAAATAGAAACGATTCATAAATATTCTTTACTTAGAGAATTAAATATATATAATCAATTTTAACATGGAGAATAACTTTGTTAAAATCAAGTAATTTAACATAATGCCACTTCGTTTTAAGTATAAATTGTATTTTTAAATTAAAAAAGAATATTGCAAAATTGTTCATTTATTTGTCTCTAATAATACTTTGATATCTATTTTCACTAATAAAGATAAAATTATAACCATGGCGTATGTAGATATAATTAGAACAAGGAAATAAAATCAAGCGAACCTGTTATTTTATTTGAAATTTATCATTTTAATAAAACAATTTGAAATCAGAAATCGAAGTGAAAGCTTGTAGCGCGATTTTATTTTTTGTCTTAGTAAGTTTTATCTATTTCAATGTTTTTATATGTGAGATTATACTCGAACGACAAATCATTCCAGGTAATAGTGATAGCACTTTTTATATTTTCTACAATAGTGAATTATTTTGGAAAAAAATGTAATTTCATAAATTTCATAAATTTATGGAAGTAATAAAGTCTGCGTTAAATGTCTTTCAAATTCTGGAAAATGATTGTTTACTTATTACTCAGGATTGTACTAGATTGTAAGCATCATAATCATTGTTAACTCCATTTTACCAGTTAATTATTATCCGACCATTTCATTGTTTGATATTGGTAACTTACTATTATAAAATAGTTGAATTTAAATTTACAATGAAATTTCTAAGTATGATATCGATATGTATGACGAAAAATATGATTGCATACTGTATTCAAATGCTAGTGTCAATGCAAAAATCAATCATCTTGAATATTTAAATAACTCCGCGCTCAAGTAAAATACGTTATTAATTTTAATGTTGGTTTTTATATTAATTTTAAAGTTGCTAAAGCCATAAATAATAATAAAGAATTATGAAAAATAGATTGTATCGTATTAAATCATTAGTCAATAGTTACTGTCTTTATCAAACCCTATTTCCTTCCAATTTTATCAATATATCATAATCTTGATCATATAATTATTATAATGAAATATAATTAATTCTTATTGATAGTATCAAATATTAAATATACTAAATTAATTTTATAGTGTCTATACGGGAAAGGTCTTAATTGGGAGTATATTAAACAAATTTCAATCAATAATGTATTTAACTTGTGCTTTTCTATTAATTAATTTATATTTTACATGCCCTTATAATAACAATTAGATTTTTTATATAAACTTGTAATAATTATATAATTATTAACTAAATTTTATTCAAATTCTTAGCATGTTTTACATTTTAATTACAAAAGTAAGATAAATAATTTGTATACTTATTAAAATGCAAGTTTATTATTAAAATTACTCATTTTTATTACTTATTAGTATTTCCATAGTAAAAATTTTGGATATTAGTAGTCAATTTCGTAATAAATAATATTATATTGGAATAGTTGTCAATCTAATACTTAAAAATATTTTAATTATAATTATTTTACTCATTACAAGAGAGTATTTTTTAATCCTGAATATTATATTTTTATGATTTCAAAATATGGAAAATATTTTCTTTCGATAAAATTGTATTTAAGTCAATTAGTTCTTAGGCGTTGCAGTAAGAAGGATAAATTTTAATGCCGAAAGGCTTTTAATTAGACCGAATTTCAAATGATATTATAAAGTCATTTTTATATTTATTTCTTGAATTGAATATTTATTAAATCTGACAAATCTGACAAGAGATTTATTATTTCAATGTGGAAAAATATTTAAAATTCACTTTTAGTTTATGTCAAATTAATAATTAAATTGCCAGTTATGACGTTATGATACATGAATTTGTTGGTTATTATATTGAAGGAAAAATTTTTCTTCATGAATAAAAAAAGTTTTCTTACATTATCTTTATTAAATATTTCAAATAATCTAAAATACAATTGTTCTGGAGTACGTAATTTCTGGCAAAAATGTATGAAAGTTTAATACTATAATGTTTTTATTCAACTAA